GGCGCCGCCCCGCGGCCCCCGGCAGCGCCCTGCGCGCCCTGCTGCGCTGCAACCTGCCCCCCGGCGCCCAGCGCGTGGTGGTCTTCGCCGTGCTGGCGCTCCTCGTCCTCATCAACGTCGTGCTGATCTTCCTGCTGGCCTTCCGCTGACCGCGGGCTGCGCCGCGGTACCGCGCTGCGGTGAGTGGGCGGCGTGGGCACCCCCGGCCGCCGCGCGTCTTCCCTTCCAGCCCCAAGCCCATCCGGCTCCTCGCGCGCCCAGCCGGTCGTGACCCGAGGTGCGGCCGCTGGCCTCTCCCGGCCCGGTGAGCCCGCACCAGACCCGCCCCTGTCAGCCCACGTGCGAGGCCGGTCTGCGTGTGCGCCCCCCGGGGTGCGGCCTTGTGGATGACTCAGGGGCGTGGTGACGTGCCACAGGGTTCGTCCGTGTGTTCGCCGTGCCGTGTCGTGTGTGTGTGTGACTAAAATGGCTCGTCTGCGTGTGTAACTGAGGATGCGGATGCAGCTGTGCCCGCGGCTGCCCCTGGTTGTCTGGAAATAGTGTGCACGTGACCTCGGTGTGAGCGGGCCGGGCAGCATTGCGTGTGGGTTGAGAGGTCTGTGGAGGATGAGTGGGCGCCTGTGCGCACATTACCTGCAGTTGCTTTTCCCATTTTAGGTCTTAAAATAACGGGTCTCAGTCAGTGTGCCCTCCCCACAGGCAGAGACCTCCCCCGCCCCCCCTTGCAGGTGGGCACTCTGAACGCTCCCCACCCCAGGGCTGCACAGGGCTCGCGGGAGCTGAGCCACGTTCCCAGACTCCCATTGGAGTCCTCCCGCAGCGGGCTGCATACCTGAGAGGCAGGAGATGGGGCAGGGTGGGAAGGGCGGTGGGCGGTCATGGCCGGGGGAGAGAGTGCACTTTCAGGCAGAGCCTGGCTTCCATGGGCCTGTCAAAATCTCAAGGGCACAGGAGGGGATCCTGCTCCCTGCCCGTGGCTTGTCTTAGTCTTGAACTTGCCCTTCCACTGGGACACTCCCCCACCAGCCCCTGCGTACACACCCTATGCCTCAGAGCCAGCTTCTGCTCCCCTGCTAGGCCAAGAGTGAGCCTCCGACCCCTGCTCCACCCAGCTCTGGTGGGCGGGAGTCTTGGCTTCCCTGCCACTGGACCTCAGACAGAGTCCCAGGAAGGGCCTCTGCCCAGAAACCCACCCGGCAGGGGCCCTGGCCGCCTCTGGGCTGTCCTGGAGGTAGAATGTGGCTCTGGCCTCTTGGAGCTGCATTTGGTCTTGGTAACATCACAGAAACAGGTAATGTCATTGCTGTAACTCGTCAGAGTGCCTCCCATTTGTGGATCTACACAGGAGCTTTGGGACCCAGGTAGAGACATTGTTACTGTGGGCTTCCATGGGGACCAAGGCACAGGGAGATCAGGGAAGTTGCTCATAGCTGTGTGTCTATCAAGTGCCTCCTGTTCCTGGCAAGGTGCTGGGATGAAGAAGTGACAAGGGCGACCCACCTCCCCCCACCACCAACACGGGCTTCCAGGTGACTGGGCAGGACTGGTCCGGCTTGTCCGTACAGGTGTCAGGAGGTCTCTCTGGGAAGCCCTGCCTCTTTGCCTCACACCTGGAGCTCCCCCCCCCCCAGCTCTGTAGAAACCACCCATGTAGGAGCCGCAGCCCTCTGCCAGGGCTGGCAGAGGAGGGCAGAGGCAGAGCACTGGGCCAGACAAGAGGGGCTTTTTTTTTTTTTTGTGAGGAAGATCAGCCCTGAGCTAACATCCGTGCCAATCCTCCTTTTTTTGCTGAGGAAGACCAGCCCTGAGCTAACATCTATTGCCAATCCTATTGCCAAAGCCCCAGTAGATAGTTGTTTGTCATAGTTGCACATTCTTCTAGTTGCTGTATGTGGGACGCGGCCTCAGCATGGCCCAACAAGCAGTGCGTTAGTACATGCCCGGGATCCGAACCCAGGGCCACCAGTATCAGAGCGCGCTAACTCAACCGCCAAGCCACGGGGCCAGCCCCCAAGAGGGGCTTTTGCTCAGCGCTCCTTTGAGGGAACCTGGGGACAGGGGGAGATGCCTGAGCTGCTTAATACCAGGCGGGAACAACCTGGGAAGGGAGACAGTGGGAAGCTGGCGTGTGTGGCGTGTGTCTGTATGACTTCCTCCCGGCCGGGGCTCCAGCAGTGAGGGCAGCGTCTATGCTGTCTGGGAGACCTCTGTGTGCAGCTGCTGTGAACCGAGGATGACAGCATCCACCTGCAGTCCTTCTCAGGAAATCAGACCTGCATCCCATTAGTGAGCGTGTGACCGTGTGCTTGCAGCCACACGTCAGGGTGTGCAGGGAGAGGGAGTCTCAGGCCACCTACTTCTCCAAGATCAGAACAACAAAGCTCACACAAGAAGTGTGTTCCCTGCTGGATCCGAACCTCAGTTGTCTCCTGTCTGTGAGAGAAGGTGCACGCAGGTTGTGGGTTATTCTAGGAGTGATTTCATCAGGGTTTGGAGCAGGTTTCACCCCCAGGAAATGGGAAGAACTGGTGGCTTCTGGATGTGCTTGCTCGGGCCCTACCTTGGAGGAAAGGCCTGGCCTGGGTAGACTCCAGTGCCTGCTGGCCTGCCCTACCCCTTTCCCCGCCCATTTGGGGCACAGTGGGGGCCTCTTAGACAGTGACTGGAACTCACTCAGGTGGAGAGCCAGCAGTCCTGCCGCGGCTCCACTCTGGTTCCCATTTCAGTGTGAGGATTAGCACCCACTGTGCCCTGAGGACACCCAGGACACACGGCCTGAAGCCAAAAGAGGACTCACGGGTGAGGGGGGCAGGGGCAAGCCGCTTGGAGGAGGAAACAGGGCAGAAGGCCTATCTGGTGACGCTTCGAGGCCTTGATTGCTCTGCCGAAGAGCCAGCCCATGGCTCTGACAATCAGAGCCAACACTTGGTCCCAGCAGAGAGGGGATGGACCTCACCTCCTGTACAACCCTCCTCCTGCCATAAGAGCCCAGAGCCATTCATCATTCATGGAGCAGAAACTGAGCCCACATTACAGGAAAGCAGGTGTCAGCCCAACGGGCAATGAACCTCTGGGAGTGAGGGCTGCCTGGGACGGTGCCGTCTCCCTGCCTCCCGGGGCTGGGGAGCATCTCTCCTGATGTGAGGTCCATGACCACCAGGAGGAAGGAGCCATCCCAGTTAGTTCAGCAGAGAGACACTGATATAAAGAATTGTTAGCTGGTATCAAGTAGTTAGCTCATACCCAAACGCACAAGAACAGTACTGAGGGAGCAGCTACGAGACAAACCGACCTCTTCTAGAGCTAGGGGGAAAGGAAGGAGGTTGGAAGAATGAAAACTGAGAATCCTATAGGCTTGGGACCTGGAGCTCTGAGGAGGGCTGCTGCTCAGCTGGTGCTGGGGAGGAGAGTGGGGGCACCATGAGACTGGTTCTGCAAGTGTTCAGAAAACACTGCAAGCCAGGTTAGCTCCTGCAGTGGCGGGACACCACCGTCCCGGGGTGAAGCGGCATTGTTGCTTGTCGGTAACCTCTCCCAGGTACTGCCAGCCCACAAGAAGCCAGCAGGAGGGAGCAAGCTGCTTGCCTCAGCTCTGCAGTCCTCTCCAGTGCCACATGAGGAGAGCCTAGAGGGGAGCAGCTGGCACAGCAGAAATGCAGCTTGCGGGAGCCCAGTGCCAGCATCGCAGAGCAGAGCAGAGATGATGGGGGAAGCTGACAGACAGGGGTTTCCTCACTGGCCCAGTGGGGGTGGGAGGAAAATGTGCCCTGTGCAGGGGAGTGAGCAACATACTCGCCCCTCAGATTTGGTGGCTCACCAGGGTCCCAGTGGTCACATTCACTTCAGGCTTCATCATCAGCTCTGCCGGTCTAGGCACGCCCAGGGCATAGCACTGCCCCATGAAGAGGGATGCCAGAGTGAGCCCCTGTCTGCCCCTCTGTCATGTGAGTCAGAACCCCCTTTTCCCAGGGCTGCCGGGGGTGAGGGCCAGAGGGCAGCCTTACCCCACTGACCTGCTGTTCATGGCTCTCTCCACAGCTCATCAGCGATGGCAGTGTGGTCTGTGCTGAAGCACTCTGGGACCATGTCACCATGGATGACCAGGAACTGGGCTTCAAAGCTGGGGATGTCATTGAAGTAATGGATGCCACCAACAGAGAGTGGTGGTGGGGCCGCGTCGCCGACGGCGAGGGCTGGTTCCCAGCCAGCTTCGTGCGGGTATGGCACCGGCCTGAGCTTCTCCTAGGCCCGTAAAGAGCCAGCTGGCTCTGCTCAGAAATGCGGGCCTGAAGCACTCTGGGGGCCGAGGTGCTGGGCACAGACCTCCGGCTCGCAGCTGTGCTGGGACTGCAGGCTGTGGGCTTGGCGCTGGGTGTCAGGAAGGCCAGCCTGGGGGGTGCGACACAGCCTTCCCCTGCAGAGCTGCCACCTGCTCCCCCTGCCCCAGGGCCCTCAGTGGCCAGAGATGGTGGGTCAGAATGGCAGTGTGGCTGCCTCTAAGGGGAGTCTGCATATTAGAGTCCCACCGCCCAGGCAGCTCGGTCTACCAGGCTCTTCCTCAACACTGCGCAGAGCATCTGCTTGAGTCATCTCAGTTACAGCTTTCACAGCAGCCCAGGGGCTGGCACCGTCACTTACACTGGGGGAAACTGAGGCATGGACAAGTCAGTCCTTAGCCCAAGAGATCAGCCAGATCCTACCTGAGGTGACCTTTGGTCTCCAAGGAAAAGCCAGGACAAGGGCAGTGGGGAGGAGAGATCCCAGGCCCTGGGGTTCACAGCTTCTCCTGCCCCAGACCCCCTGGACAAGGTGCCCACTCTGCACCCTAAGCCATTCCTAGTACAAAGCCACATCACTCATGCGCTTATGTCACAGCCCCTAGAGGGCGCTATGAGCAACACTGGTTCAGAACTCTATAGTTAGTATCTGCTCTGTGCCCAGCACAAGCCGATGCTAAGGGCACCTTAGGGGGAGGCAGGTAGTCTGGGATAACGGACAGCTGCAGCGGTCATCGGACTGTCGGCCCCCTGTGCAGATGGGCACTGTGCGGGCGATGGGCGGAGGGGAGCTTCTCGCCCTGCCCCAGGCCCCTGTGACTCCTGCGAGTTCTCCTAGCTTTAGTTCCCGGCTGCGGGGCGCTGACCGCACCCCCCGAGGGCGCTGAATCCCCCCAGGGCGCTGACCCCCCCCCCCGGCGCTCACCCCCACCCCGAGGGCGCCGACCCCCCCCAGGGCGCTCACCCCCACCCCGAGGGCGCTGACGCCCCCCCAGGACGCTGACCCCCCCCCAAGGGCGCTGACGCCCGCCCCCCAGGGCAATGACCCTCCCCCGGGGGCGCTGACCCCCGCGCGTTGCCCGCAGCTGCGTGTGAACCAGGACGAGCCCGCGGACGACGAGGCGCCGCGGGCCGGGGCAGGCGGGGCAGAGGACGGCGGGGCCGAGGCGCAGAGCAGCAAGGACCAGATGCGAACCAACGTCATCAATGAGATCCTCAGCACCGAGCGCGACTACATCAAGCATCTGCGCGACATCTGCGAGGTGAGACCGGCGCGCGCGGGCGGGCGGGCGCGGGCGGGGGGGCCGGTGCCGGGGCTGACGGGCCGCTCGGCCCAGGGCTACATCAGGCAGTGCCGCAAGCGCGCCGACATGTTCAGCGAGGAGCAGCTGCGCACCATCTTCGGGAACATCGAGGACATCTACCGCTGCCAGCGGGCCTTCGTGCAGGCGCTGGAGCAGAGGGTCAACCGCGAGCGCCCGCACCTCAGCGAGCTGGGCGCCTGCTTCCTGGAGCACGTGAGCGCGCCCGCCGGACCCCACCCCGCGCCCTGCCGCCCGGACCCCGCCCCCCGCCCGGACCCCGGGACCCCGCTCCCCGCCCTGCCCCCGGGGCCCTATCCCCAGCCCTGCCCCCGGGAGCCTACCCCCCACGTGCTCCTCGGACTCTGTCCCCCACCCTGTCCCCGCTCTGCCGCCGGGACCCTGCCCCCCACCCTGCACCCACCACCCCGCGACCCTGTTCCGAGGACCTGCTGCCCTGGCTCTACAGTGCAGTAGCTCCTGGGGGCTTGGCCGTCCCCCCGTACCCGGCCCACACACTGTAGCCTGCTTTGCCTTTGGCTCCCAAGCTGCCTTCTTTTGGAAGGCCACCTTGTAGCTGAAACCCAGGCAGCCTCCCATTCTTCCCAGAAGCTTCCAGGCCCAACTCCCCGACCTGCCCCACTGCCTTCACCCTTCAACACTGTTGTGGAAGTGTCTCAGTTTCTGTAGGGGTAAACCAAATCAGAGAAGGCCCCTTGGAGTGGGGGGCCTGGGCATCGGCCAGTGAGGTAGGAGATGGGTTGGGCCACCTGTTGAGCACTCCAGAGCTGTTCACAGCCAGTTCTGGGGTCTCTCACTCAGTGAGCAAACTGAGATATGTGGAATTTACAGTGCTTACTTCCACTAAATGCTAGTTGGCATTTAGCCATAGTTCACTGGTCTGGGCTAGATGGACTCCTGGTCTTGCCTGATGGGGAAAACACTGGTTTTAGCCCTCTCCTTTGCAGTCACGGGGGGTGAGTGACCCCATCAAGGACAGTGTGGCTCCTTCCATACCAGTGGGTGTTGGGAGGGGCCGGCCCCTCTCTCCAGCGGCAGGAGGAGAACTGAAGGGAGGGGTGGACGGTCCAGGTGCAGGAGTGGTGGGGGGCTGGGCACCCAAGTAAGTGTGGGACTTGGGTCCAGTTTTTCAGCAGCAGGAAGGGGAAATAGGGCAGGTCCAGGAGGAGGCACTTGATTGACATCACCTAGTGTGACCATCACAGGACCCCGCCCGCCGGCCAGCTGCTGTTACTCTCCTTCCCCACCGAAGTCCATGAAGTCCTAGGTCGACAGATGGCAGACCTGGTCTCTCTCTGGCTCCAGGTAGATGAAGCTTTTAAAAAGAAGAGGCACAGTGAGTCTCATGTGCAACAGACGCACAACGTGGACCTATCTGTCACGTTGTGTAGAATACAGTGACGGTGCTGTCCTTCAGATATGAAGCCGGAACTTGGTGAAGACGCAGCAAGACACTGGGCTGAGAATGAAAACAACCCGGGAGGCACAGCATAGACCCTCGCATCCATTTAATCTCTCTTAATCTCCCCACCCACCTCCTTTTGACCTTGACTGATAGCCCTTCCTTATTAGCATCATTGATCTCATCCAAAAAACTGACAAAGTATCTGCTGGGGGCCCTGCTGAGAAGGCCGGGTGGTGGGCGACAGAGGCGCACAGGTCTGAGTGTTCAGAGGTCTTCCCCATCCCAGGTGTGATTCCGTGTAGCTTGTGCCCAGTGAAGTAGGTAGACAGAGCCTGAGTTCCTGGAGCCCGGCTCCTGCTCCCTCCTGCCATGTGCCGGGGTCTTGGGGGACCTGGGGGCAGGAGCCAGCCTCCCTAACCTGCAGCCCTGCCCGCAGCAAGCAGACTTCCAGATCTACTCGGAGTACTGCAACAACCACCCCCGAGCCTGCCTGGAGCTCTCCCGGCTCGCCAAGCTCAGCAAGTACGTGTACTTCTTCGAGGCCTGCCGGCTGTTGCAGAAGATGATCGACATCTCCCTGGATGGCTTCTTGCTGACCCCCGTGCAGAAGATCTGCAAGTACCCTCTGCAGCTGGCTGAGCTGCTCAAGTACACGCACCCCCAGCACAGGTAGGAGGCTGCTGGTCGAGGGGGCAGCCTGAGGCTCTACACGCCTCAGGTCGGCCTGTTTGCTGAGTCCTTCTAATGTGCTGGGCACTGCTGCAGGCACTGCGGCCACAGCACAGAGGAAAACCACCCCTGCTCTCACGAGCTGTCGTTGCAATGAGGGAAGAGGACGTATTTGGGTATTAAGTTCCACTCTGTGCCGGGATGTATGGAGAAGACGGGGGTGTGCATTTGACAGGGGAAGAAATGGCCAAGGGGCACAGCCGCAGAGGGAAGCAGCTCCACAGGGGGCTTCAGGAGGCTCCCACCCCATCTCTGCTCTCCGTCTGGCAGCCCTCTCCCATCTCTGTTCTGCCCCAGGGATTTCAAGGACGTGGAGGCTGCCTTACATGCCATGAAGAACGTGGCCCAGCTCATCAATGAACGGAAACGGAGACTGGAAAACATTGACAAGATTGCTCAGTGGCAAAGCTCCATAGAGGACTGGGAGGTGAGGGCCTGACACCCCGGAAGATACCATGGGGCTTGCCCCTGAAAAATCTAGGAGGGAGCTGAGGCAGCGAGCCATGCTCCTGGGAGCTAGCAAACAGGAGCTGGTGGTGGGCAAGCGGGTCCTCCACTTGGGCCCACCAGAGCCCTGAGCTCCGGGCCCGTAGCGCTGCCTCCCAGAGCAGGCCCGGTGGCCTCTTTCCTGGTGAAGAGTGTGGGGCACGTGTGAAATACCACACTCCTCCCAAAGTGCAGTCAGCCAGCCCAGCAAGAGCGGCTGTTTCTCTGCCCTTAAGGGACAGGCCAGATCCCCCAGTTTGTTACCCACCAGGACTCCCACAGAAGGGCCCCAGCCTGCCACAGCATGACCAAAAATGGACCCACCGCCCAGAACCTCCTGGTTCCTTTCTCTGGCTCGCATATTCTCCATATCAGCCAATCTTGCCTCCTGAGGCAACACTGAGGCCTGAAGGAATGGTGACATTCCTGTCCTGCTCTCTCTATCCCCACCTATCTGGGCCCCACTCTAGAAATACAGAATTAGACTCCCTAGGGGTGGGGCTGAGCAATGTTGGTTTTGTTTTGTTTGGGGGTTTTGTTTTTTGTTATTTTTTTCACTTTCCTGGTGATTGGTTCTGAGGCTCAGCCCTAGCCAAGGACCCTACAAACTTTCTTATCCTAAAACTGAATGGCTGCCGACTCCTGGCTGTGGCTTGCATTTTCCAGGAGGAACCGGAAGGGGACAGGGCTTAGTCTGCAAGTTTGAAGTCTAATGATGGGACTTCAGGTACCAAATACATTGAACTGGGAGGAAGACCTCCCCTGCCCCTAAAAGACCAGCCTCAGAGGTGACTTCTAACCAGGTCTAATCATTCTCACGGCAGCACTGTCCAATTGGAGTATCACGTGAGCCACAAAGGGAATCTTACATGTTCTAGTAGCCATCTTAAGAAAGAGAAAAGGAAACAGGTGAAACTAACTAAAATAATGTTTTATTTAACTCCATATAGCCAAAATATCATTTCAACATGTAATCAACACAAAATATCATTAGTGAAATATTTCACATTCTTTATTTCATACTAAGGCTTCAAACTCCGTGTGGATTTTACTCACATGACGTCTCAGCAGGGATTACTACATTCCAAGTGCTCGCGCCACTGGCTGCTGAGGGGCCCCATTTTGCAGAGACAACCAGCTCGTGGGTCAGACCACCTTTCTACCCACCAACGGCCCCCACTACTTCCTTGGGCTTCCGGAGCAGCGCCCCTATGGCCTGCTGCTCCCTGCAGACCCTGGCCTGGTGGGGGCCACAGGCAGGGCCACTGGGGAGCCCTCCTCCTCAAGATGGAGGCAGGATGCAGAGCCCAGCAGAGGAGGCCTCCTCGAAGCTCACAGCTCTCCTTGGGCCCCCAGGGGGAAGACCTCCTGGCCAGGAGCTCAGAGCTCATCTACTCGGGGGAGCTGACTCGAGTTACACAGCCACAAGCCAAGAGCCAGCAGAGGATGTTTTTTCTCTTTGACCACCAGCTCATCTACTGTAAGAAGGTACCTGCCCTGCTGGGTAGAGCGGGAATGGAGGGAGTGCAGCTGCGGGCTGGGAGCAGCTGCCCAGAGAACAGGAGCCACACCCCAGTGGTCCCTCTGTCCTGGGGTCCTGAGTGCAGCAAGCTCTTCCCTGCTTAGGCCCTTAGGGCCGGGATGAGGGTGGCTCTTTGCAGAGTGAGCCTAGTAGCCTCGGAACCACGGGCAGCCCTCAGAGTCTGACCAGGGCCCAGTGAAGTGAACAACACCCTCCTTTCTCACCTAGCCCCTGCTTGCTTCTCAAGCTACCTCTTCTCTCTCTGCAAACCCCAGCTTCCCCTCCCCAGCCCTGGGCTCCTCTGCTCCTGGCGTACTCCTCGCTGCTAGCTTCTACTCCTCTTCAAAACATGGCCCACCAAGCCCTGTCCGGGAAGCCCTCTTGACCACTAGCTCTGGCCCAGCCCTGGTGGTCCTGGTGCTCTTCTCTGCTGTGTGGTGTGGGCCCTGGCCCCGTTTCCTTGGCTGTCTCCCCACCAGACTATGGGTGACTTAAAGACTTCCTAGGCCAGTCAATAACTGTTAACTGAAAGAGCAAGGCTCCTCCATCCTGTGTTCAGCACAGTCGTGGGCCGCACTAGGTTTGCTCTGCCCTCATGAGCTCACTGCTGGGGAGGTGGGTGTGCAGCCCATCAGCCCTTCCAGTTATAGGGCAGAGGGTAAGGCAGGGCCTTGGACATGGTCAGGAGAGTGGTTCAGAGGCTGGGGAGGGGGCCAGCAAGCAGGCTGGACAAGGAGCTCACGGCATCTCTGGCAGGACCTCCTCCGCCGGGATGTGTTATACTATAAGGGCCGAGTGGACATGGATGACCTGGAGGTGGCAGATCTGGAGGACGGGAAGGACAGAGACCTCCATGTGAGTGTCAAGAATGCCTTCCGGTTGCACTGTGGCACCACAGGAGAGAGCCACCTGCTGTGTGCCCGGAAGCCTGAGCAGAAGCAGCGCTGGCTCAAGGCCTTCACCAGGGAGAGGGAGCAGGTGCGGCTGGACCAGGAGACAGGTGCGACCCGGCTCAGCCTTGCTCCTGTGTGAGGGCCCATGCAGCCATCCTCACCCCTCAATGCCCGGAGGTCAGGACAATCTTAGACTGAAGACAGCACATCTTACAGCCCAAGAGCCTCTGGGTCTGGCGAGGCTCCAGGGCACCTCTTGGTTTCAGCCCCAGGGCATGGATCTGCTAGCCTCTTGGGGGCGTTTGCTTCTACCACACGTGGACATGCATACACGCATGCACACTCCATAGGGTAGGGGCCCTCTGCTCAGGTGCGGGGACCTAGGGGAGCCCCTTTCCAGTATAAGCCCTGGGAGAGCCCTGGAGTGGGAGGCGGGCACTGGCCTCCAGAAGCCTCCCCCCACCCCCACATGAGTAGGGCATCTCCCCACTGCATTTCTCTCCTGTCGTGGGCCCCTGGCATCACACTCTGTAGTGACCAAGTCGGCTCTTGGTCTGAGAAAGAGCCTCCACCACAGTGGAGAGAAAGAACACTAGACACTGGACACACTAGGGATCAGGTGAGGGTGGGTGATGGGGGAGGGCAGGGGAGGATGTAGGGAGGGCCTGAGAAAGCACCAGAGCATCTCCTCTGCCTGGTTGGCCAAGGCGGGCTGGCTGAGCCCCATGCGGCATGATGGGCCCCCAAGCATGGTGGGCAGTGCAGGGTACAGAGCTGCACTGGTACCGGGGAGCACAGGACAGGAGCAACGTGGGCAGGGGAGGAGGGGGTGGGGGAAAGGCAGCCAAGTGCTCGCAAGGAAGCGGGGTCTCATTTGTGCCCCTCCCTCCTCCCAGGCTTCTCCATCACTGAGCTACAGAGGAAGCAGGCTATGCTGAATGCCAGCAAGCAGCAGGCCACAGGGAAGCCCAAAGGTAAGCAGATGGAGTCCCACCTCTACGCACGGCAGCCTGGCCCAAGCCCTGATCAGACTCTTCTCTGACCCCCAAAGCAAAGCCAGCTAACACCTAGTCCTCAGAGCTGCCCACTGCCCTTTGCAGGTGTTTGACCCCAAAGGTTGGTGCTGGGAGCCATCAGTGACGAAGCTGCATCAGTGTGCGGTTGACACCTTTGCTCTCAATCCCCTCAGACACCCACAGTAGCACCATTAGTAACAGAGCTCACTTCCCCAGGCAGACTGCTTTCTGGCAAGGGGCTGATCTCCCCATTCCTACAGACGTTAAATGCCTCGCACAAGGCCTGAGCCATGGAGAAGCTCCAGGCTCCTGAGCTCCCCTGGCGTCTCAGCCATCCCCTCTGCAGGCCAGAGGGTGGCAGCCCAGGCCCCTGGGTGTGGTCAGCCCTGTAGGAAGCAAGGTCCTTCCCATAGGCGTCTGAGGCACAGCCTTAGGACGGGCTCCATCCCACTCTCTGCAGTGGAGGCTGCTACCCTGCCCTGTGCCACCTGGCTCCCCAGGCACCTATGACCCCTGCCGTCTTCTCCTGCCCAGCCCTCTGCCGGCCCTACTACCTGACACGCCAGAAGCACCCGGCACTGCCCACCAGCCTGCCCCAGCAACAGGTCTCAGTGCTGGCAGAGCCCAAGCGGAAGCCATCCACCTTCTGGCACAGCATCAGCCGGCTGGCACCCTTCCGCAAGTGAGCCAGCGCCCCACCCGCCAGCACCATCTGGACCTTCCTTGCCTGCGGGCCTCCAGCTGTTCCTGCCCGAGGCCCACCACATCGGGCCCTCCTCTGCCTGTTATACAAACTGGAAGCGAGCAGGGCTGAGTGAGGAAGTTGCTCAGTGCTACCAGTACATGCCAGGTTCCATGCTCCCATTCTTGCTTTCTTTCTCACTACTGGTGCACTGAAGACACCAGCTGGAGATGGAGCCCCAACAGCACGTGAACCTCTCGCCCCGCTCCGGACCTTTGTGGGGCCTCTTGGGGGCCACAGCTCAGAACCACCCCCACCGGCCAACGTGCATGAGGAGACTGGCCGCTTTGGACATCTAATCATCCCTTCTTCTGTTGTTTTTGGGCAGGAGACCGTCTGCCTTCAGCCACCTGCAAAGCCAGGCTGTGTGCCCCTCTGCCCTCCAATTCTCCTTGCAGGCCTCCAGCCCCCAGCTGGTGGTACCAGGCAGCTTGCATCCCTGAGGGTGGGAACCAGGAATTCTGCGCACAAAAACGTCTGGCCCAGAGCCCAGCCGCTCTGCTTCCCAGTCCCTCTCTAGACACTCCTGGCTGCCGGACACCCTCTTCACTTGTGACATCTTTGTTTATAGTGGAACGAAAACAAAACCGTAGTCAGCTGCATACTTCTGTCAAGGTTTGTGACCAGTCCACGTATAGCTGTGGGTGATTCTAGAACCTTGTTCTAGTTTTTTTGTTTGGGTTTTGTTGTTCTAACAAACAAACAAACAGTGGAGAAAAAGAATTATTATTGGTGACACACAAGGATTGCCTTACCCTAAGTGAGCGTGAGAAGCCATAAGGACTGAATTCTGTGGCCCAGCATCCAGGACTGACCCACCCATCCAGAGGCCGGTGGGCAAGTGGGTTGGATGGAAGCCCACATCTTGCTGAGGCGGGGCGCCCATGAGTGTGGCCAGGGTCTGGCTTGTGGGTGTAGAGCGCCGAGCCATCCCTCTGGCCCATGAGAATTCAGCAGCATGTACAGTCCTTCTTGCACCATACCTTCTCCAAGCCAGAAGCCACATTTAATTTCATAAAGAAACGTGAAAAATAAGCTGGTGGCCAGCCCTTGTTTTCTGTTGGTCTGTATGTTTTCTCTTCTGCACCCCTTATCGTTCCTGTGCCTGTGATCTCTGACCTAGGCCTCTCCTTAAACTGCAGAAAGGAGCTAGCAGCACCGAGTGTGGTGGGGCTCACCCAGTTGCAGACCATGCCCTTAGGCTTTGGTGCAGAGAGCCTCAGGGGGGCTGGGAGGGCTGTGCAGCCTGGGAGCCCGCTCTCTCCGTGAGTGCTCCCAGAGTCCATGTTTGGCTGAAGTTAGCAAATGTGAGTTTGGGGGACAGGCGGTCCACAATCTTTTTGGGTCTCAGCTGCCTCCTCGCTGAAATGGGGTTCCCAGGACGCCCCGGCCTGCAGGACTAGAAGATCAAGGGCGGCTTCCCTCCCGTTCCCACCTGAGGAAACAAACAGTCCCCACAACCTGCTGCCTCCACATACCCTTACACACTGCCAAGGCCACTGGGGTGAGCACCACAAGGCCCTCTTGCCCCTCCCTGCATTTCCTAACTTGAGAGAAGCTATACCACCTCCCAGCCAGGCAAAGCCACCTCAAGACAAAACCCACAGGGAAAAATCATGAAAACCACAACGTGCAACACAAGTCAATCTTTATTGAAAACTGCAGTATTCATACAGAACAATTCTTGTTACAATAAACGTGCTTTTAAGAATTTTGAATCTGAGCTCATCTCAACAGATTGCATAAAAAAATTAAAATAGTATGACTTTACACATAATGGAACTGGCTCAGGATGGTGTTCCATTCCTTTGTATTGACACCTTAAGTTCAATGCAGAGGTGAGTGTGAGGGATGCCTTTAACACTGGAAGACACTGACGTAAGCTTTAAAAAAGTACCAAGAGAACGGTCTTAAAAAAACGGTATTTAAAAAATCATTAAAAAAAAAAAAAAAGGAACCGTTTCCTAGTCAGTCATAAGCCATGTGGCTCCTTGGGGCCTCTCCTCTGAGAGGCCATCACAGAAACCCTACCAGGAGCACAGGAAAGATGGCCTCAGATCCAGCCCAACTAGTCCACTGACACTGTCCACACCAAGACCCATGGGAGACTGCACCAGGGTTCAGGAGGCTGAGGTGAGATGCCTGTCATCTCCAACACCCCAATCCTGGGAGCACACTGTCTCCTAAAGCTCGCTGCGGGTCCCTGCACAGAGATGTCTGCCTCTCCTCTGTCTCCCCGTCCCAAATGACTTGACGTTAGTCCTGGGGACTCAAATACGGTTACCCCACAGGTTTTCTGTTCCTCAAATGAAGAGGGGTGGGGAAAGAGACAAATCCTCTGAAACATGTAAAATGAACTTCACAACTTGCTACCTGAAAAGATCAGACCCTCCTCTGCAGTGTGTCATCTGCAGTCTACTGAGAAGACTGCACCTACAGAAAGCTCAGGTTGAGTAATAAGCAGCTGAGGGAAAACACAGACATTTGAGGTGCACTAGAGAGGAGAGCTAAGCAGTCCGCCCCTCCCCTAAGCCAACCGCACTTCTGTTTAGAGACACACCCTCCCCTTAGAAAGCACCTCCCACCTCAAGCCACGCATCCTTCAACCTGCCCTTGCGCCCAGTGGAGGGTCAGACAGGCGTCCTGTCTTGTCTGGGCAATGTCCAGGCTGGCAATGATTGGGGCGTCCAGCCATTAGCTAACAGATGGGAGAAGGTGGCCCAACTGGTCAGCATAATACTGTTTCCAAGTGTTTACAAAGCACAGGTGAAGAAGTTCGGCTTTCTTTTTTTAAAGCAGGCCCCAATATCGATGTGGCTGGTGCCTGCCATCCTTTCACCACCCACTAGCAGGCACACTCACAGAAACCCATGTGGGGACAACACTGCCAGATATCAGCATATCCGAAATGCCTTAAGAATATATTTCCTCTCATTACTGAAGTGATGATACCACCAGATAGAACAAGGCTTACTGCATGCCCAGCTTGGGAAGGGCAGGATACTACTTACTGACCAGGTGCCCACTCCAAGGCTCAGGAGCCCCCTCATCTCCTGTAAATACTACATTTGCATAGCACTCAAGAAACAGACTCACAGAATAGCAACTGGTAGGCCTAATAACAACACCAATGAGAATGTTCTGGAAATATTTAATACAAGAGACATAAAAGGTTCTGGAAGCACCTCCATGCCTGTTACCATGCCCTGGTCCTGATGTTAACCTCACCTTGCAGAGGCAGTGAACTGATAGGACCATTGCTCAATGCTAAATACTCGGTCACCGGCCCAGATCCAAACAAGACTTCCTTAAGCAGAGAAACAGACCTCCTACACCCTAGGCAAGAGGCCGTACAACAAAGATATTCTAAAATATCCACGTTTATAGGCAATAGGTCCTGTGCTTCCCTGTCTCAACTTCTAAAAGAACCATGATTCAGCTGAAAGACTCAAATTAGGAATGTCACAACCAAAAAACACAAAATTTCTCTGAAATGTTCCACTATTGTGCTTGGATATCAAATTATGCAACTTTATAACAGAAGTTCTATTCCTTAATTAATTTTACTGCAATTAAATGCTGCTAAAATGACAACCTATGATAGTTTTGTTACTGTTCATATGTCAGGAATCTTACCTGCTAGATACATTCTAACTTTCATCATATTTGATAGGTGATGCTCTCATAGTTTCAAAATCGAAAAAATTTCCACACAGATGTATTCCATAAAGCAAAAGTATCTGATCAAGTCTCCCAACTCAACTTTACAAAGGGAAAAGATTTTAAAAAATTATAGAGGGAAAGTATTTATGAAGCTGATGTAAACGGGGGGAAAATGCAACCCACTCTTCTTTCTCTCTTGAAAACACAATTTAATTCAGTGCTCGTGAAAACACTCAACTGTGTGTGCCAAGTCTCAAGCAAGCCTGGATAAACATCCTATATAACTTCTCATACCTTTCTCCTGAATTCAAATGATTCCACCTCTGACAGGGAGTTTGTGTGTGTGTGTGTGTGTGTGTGTGTGTGTGTTTTCATTTTGCTGTTTGTGGCTTTTTTAAAGCATACACTAAAATTATATTTTCTCCTAATCTGTTACACTAAATTGGGGAACCTGACTTCTTGTTCCTCAGTCAGTTCAGCCCCTGGAACCCTTAGAACCTACTGACACTACAAAGCATCCACTATACAGAGAGAATGACCAACACAGAGTTGAAGAAGTGGACACAAACATTGTGCCTGGGATAAATGGCTACTACACACACACACACACAAACACACACACATATGTTAAGTGCTCATGAAGCAATTTAAAGTACTTATCAGTAAACACACTATGTTAATAGACATTAGGAATAAGGAATCTTCTGTTTACAATAATCCATGCAAAAGTATTCCTAAAATTCTTATAAAATACAATGTGAAAAAGAAAATTATGAAGAGTACTTACTATAAAAAATAAGGTTACCAAAGGCTCAGGGGTCAGGTGTCCCACTCACCAACCAAGGCTGAATGGCAAACCAGCACCAGAGCACTGACCTAGCTGCCAGAGACACAACAAGAGCAGGGTCCCTGCCCAACCAAAGCCCATGGCACTTGAAACAAGGATGGGGTGGAACACAGTCACATCCCACCCCTGCCTGACAGACTGCTGGAAGGAAACAAAACCCTCCCCCCACCCCCTCTGACTCTCTGAGAACAGACACGCACTCCCATCCATACAAGATGGGCACATTTAGGCAAAAAAAAATCCTCTTGATCTTGTATGTACAATATTCAGACTTTAAATACAAAATCCTTTCTGTAATAAAACCCCAGCAGGCAAATACATTCAGATGCTGCCTACACTTGCTTTGTGCCGAGCGCCCTCAGCTGCAAGAAGAGCCAGCAGAGGAGACTCACGGATAGCAGGCCCAGCCCTCCCCAAGCCTGTCTCCTAGGAGGCCCCTCCAGACAGTCTCAGAGGACACATCCCCATCAGGGGGATGGGCCCAAACAGCCACGCCCTGCCTCTCTGAAAGAAAGACTCAATTTCAAATAAAGGTTTGTTCCCTTTTAATAGTTCTTAAATATAACTTTCTTCATGATACACAGCTGAAATCTTTGCCCTTCTCTGTGGGGGAAGAACAGCAATGCCTACATATGTTTTCAGCTGACTCAAACATTTCTCAGGAAAAAAAAAGGAATGATTTTCTAAGCTGAATAAAGGAGAGGCCGAGACCTCCTCCAAGTGTGGCTGTTCCTCATTCACACACCTTCCATCCCAGGAAAATAATTTAGTTCTACATAGGACTTTTCCAATAAAGATACAGAAAAACACCAGTGCTATCTGTAAGAGACTGGTAATGAGAATTGAGATAGCAGAGAAGACTGCTTTGCTGATACGTAAACTACCTCTTGCCCCTAATTGTACTGGCCACACAACTCTACCCTTCCATGACAATCATTAAGAAATGTCCACATCGCACGGACCCCACAGCCTAAATGGAAAAAAAGGGATGCCCACTGACCCAGCTGCACCCACGCAGCTGTAGCCCTCCCTACACTCCCCCACTCCTGCAACTCTCTCCCAGTGCAGTCCATGTGAAAGAAAGAGCTGGCTGCAACTCTGAGTCCATGTGTCCAACTGGCAACCCACATCAACCCCAAAAGGTTGAAGACTCATCTAAGAGATTTCAGATGCTCTATGAAGAAATTCACTTTAACACTTATAACTTTAAGACTTAGCATACATTACAACAGTGCATTAGTGATACAAGTTGTAAAATACTTTTCCATTCCTTTGGATTTTGCGTATGATGGGTTTGTATCAGTCACTGCAGGTAGACTGAGCAAGCTCTGTTTTTGTGTTTGTTTTTTTTAAACATGCATTCAACTAGATATGATTCAGAATAGATTAATACTCCCTTTTTATCATTACAGTTAGCTAAAAAATTGCCAGGCAGCCCACAAAACGGGATTTGCTTTAAGACCAACCCAGAGAGCCAGCTGAAGACTCACAGCGCTGGGAGCTGCCGGGCCGGGCTGCAGTAGTGTTAGCTAAGTGTCGAGAGCATTAACAAAGTCCTGGTTGGAGGCACGAGGCCTGCAGCACCAGCTGTGGAACCTCCGTAACGTGAACGCAGAGCTCCATCCTCAAACCTGGGGGGAGAAAAACAGACACACAGTCACGGAGCTCTCTGGCACCGCTGCTCCAAAAAGGAGGATGATGAAATCTGCTAGGACCCAGAAAGGGCAGCAGCAGGAAAGGCCACTGCTCCTGGTCCCCGTGGACCTCAGAAACTTCCAGTTACACCTGGACTCCTACTTCCTGCAGGAGGCAGTGGGAGGTTGGAGCACAGTCCAGGTAAGGGGCAAAGTACACAGTGTACACAGCAAGTACTCAATGGTTTCCCTCTGTCTTCTACTTCGTAGAGTCCCAATAAGAACAAAAATTTAATCACTGCATTGCCCTTGGATCAACAGTAAGGTAGCATTTCTCTCATTAGCGCCTTAAGCTGTGGGAGATTTGATATTCTCCACTGACAAAAATGCACTTTAGTCAAGAATGGAGCCCACCTTCATCGGCACTTACATGTGCAGGGTGATCACCACTGAGGGGGCACGTAGCTGTAGGTGGGTGTTCCGGGGGCCCGATATGTGGGCACTGTGACTGGGTGGGGGGCGACAGGAGTTGGGGAGTGGGCGGTCAGCAGGGTACCTGGAAGAAAGAGCAGTGGGTCTCAGTGGTAGGCAACTCCACCTACACACAAGGCTGGCCTCCCATGCCCGAACGGCTCCATGCTGCCTCTGACGAGAATGCAGGCTTGGCTCTCTTTGCAAGGAGGGCGGTACATAGGAAGAGGGGATGGGCTTGACCTAGAATGCTGCCAGAACTCTGATTATATACAACTCAAAGATATAAACACAGCAAGCTCACATTGATAATGTGTTTGGGGGTGGCCCCGTGGCATAGCAGTTAACTGCGGGTGCTCCACTGCTGGCGGCCCAGGTACGGATCCCAGGCGTGCACTGATGCACTGCTTGGCAGGCCATGCTGTGGCGGCGTGGCATATAAAGTGGAGGAAGATGGGCACGGATGTTAGCCCAGGGCCAATCTTCCTCAGCAAAAAAGGATTGGCAACGGATGTTAGCTCAGGGCTGATCTTCCTCACAAAAAAAGGAGGAGTGGCATCGAATCTCAGCTCAGGGCTAATCTTACATACACACACACATACAAAATAGTTAAGATGATAATAAATAAATGGACGGGAAGGAAGGAGATTCCAAACTACATAAGCTTCTGAGTACATTACGATAAATGTATTTTCCCTATAATTGCGGAAAACTTCAGGACTATCAGAGTCCATTTACAGACAAGCACTACCTCAAGCCTAACAGCCTCCTCTTGCATCTCTTCACTCTCTGTCTCCCTGCCCACACCCAAGCCAGGGCCTGTCATCTCCTCCCTCCACGTGCCTCAAACATGCAGTTTCTGTCTGTGCCACTTCCCCTTGGCCTTCACAGCTAAGTACGGAAAAGTCAAATAAAACAGAGCGAAGCACACATGGTGTCCTGAAACACCTCTCTCTCTGGCACATTTCCTTACACTAAAGTAAAGCCTAGACAAACAATGATGAAACAATATATTTTTAAAAATTCCCAGCCATGGGCAACCAAGTACATTGTGCGTACCTGGGCCCCAGCCACAGACAATTCACATGCCCATAGGAGGTAACCTAATCCCTGGACATTAAATCAAGCCCCTAGGGTTCCATGGTTCCAGGGAGATGTGCCCATCCTCACCAGGGGTCTCCTCTCTCTGTGGTTTATTTTCCTGACCTAGGGGAAGCCTTGGGAAACAGAGCCGATGGATGCCAAAAGATTCCTACAAGCAGCTGTTACCTCTGTTAACACAAGACCAGCTTTCCTAGAGTCATGTAAACATCCAACCATTCAGACAACGTGGCTTGCAAAAGAAGCCCTAAAGAGAAGTATCAAGAGGGCAGGCCCCCAGAACACAAAGTATCCTCTTCTGCTCAAGCTTCATGTGCTCACTGGAGGATGTGGTCACTCCTATCCCTACTGCAAAATGGCCCACCTCACCGACAAAGTGGCCCCATCAAATCCAGAGAGCGATATCCAGTCACAATCCCCGAGAGGGTACTGGTTCATGGTTTATTACTCTAAATCCCACAACCCAGTCTCCTCTCAACTGAAAGGAGAAGGGGAGGGAAAGAAAAAGATAATATGCTGATCCTTCTCAAAAGAAGCACATGTCCTTCCACACAGCACTAGTCAATGAAAAATCAAAGCCAAGGGTCAGAGTACCAGTGAGCTCTCCCTCCCCCAGCTCTCATGCCACCATGGAACAGGCACCCAAGGTCAAGGACTCACCTGCTGACATCGCCATAGTGGTCCCAGCCACCATGCCCATGGTGACCCCGTTGCCTCTAGGCGGAGGGATGGGTGCAGGGTACACTGTCGCCGGCATGCCATTGGGCTGCACCACTGTGGTGTGGTGGATGACATGAGGAGGTGCTGCGTACAGGGGCTGTGTGTAGTACGTGCCTTGCTGTGGGGAATAAGAGAGACATCTGCCACAGGGTCCCATGCCCAGCAGGTCAGAGTCCAGGCGGAACCAACCCTTCCCAGAAACACAGTGCTCAGGAGCACCGTTAATAGGCAACACTGCAGCCCAGGCCTACCTGTGCATATGGACTCTGCTGGGGGTAGGCACTTCGCACAGGGTACACAGCGGTCTGGTAGGGGTTGGGGGAGGAGGAGTACGGCGGCACTGCCCCACTGGTGGGGGAACAGGACACTTTGTAAGGCGTGCCAGGAGTGTAACCTGAAACAAAGAAGGAAGCGCAGAGTGACATCAGCATCATGGCAAGAGTGAGCTCTTCCGTTAGACTCTCTCCCCTAAGATACAGTGAAAAAGACAGTCATAAACCAACAGAGGACATTCACACAACACGATAGATGTCTGAGAGACCCATGCAGCCATACATCTCAAGGTGGGGGTGCTGGACCCCAGGGGAAGAAGTGGAAGGAGGTAAGGGGATCTCCCCTCCCTCCCCAGCGGTGGCCTAGGGCGCAGGACCCCACACGGCTCTGGGGGGGTGGGGAAGTTCTCCAGGGATCACTTTCACTCTCCAAGTTCCCTCACAGCCCGTGGGAAAGCCCCAACCAGAGGAGCCTTAGCCAGTTTCGGGGTTGTCTTCGTCAAGCCAGCACCCCAGGAGGGCATACAGCAAGGGGAGAGCCAGAACACCCCAAGGATCACAAACATCAAAGAAAGCACCCCTCCCCCTGCCCAGTGCACTAGCTGGGCCGGTGGGCGAGAGCAAGGGACTCCCTGCCAAAATACATACACATGTGTTTATAAAGCAGCAGCGGTGAGCGGGCAACCGCAGATGGGAACGGTCAACACAGATTACAAAGGACTAGCACAGGCGCCAAGGGTCGCGGCAGGCTCAGAATACACAGCTGCTTCCACCACCACTCCCCCAAGTGGTGGAAGATGGAATTGCAACCAGATACTTTCACTGTGCAAAGGCACAAACCCACCCCATCAAATAGTATGAAGAGGTATATTAATACTCCGGACCAGAAGGAAAATGACAAGGATCCAGAAATCAATCCTGAAGGCACAGAAATTTATAATCTAAAAGATGGAAAATTCAAAATAGCTATCAGAAAACAACTCAATGACTTATAAGAAAATTCAGAAAGACAGCTCAATAAAATCACAAATAAAATTAATGAACAGAGGGAATTCTTCACAAAAGAGATTGAACTTATAAAGAAAAAAAATCAGAAATGTTGGAGATAAGAAACAAAATGATGCGGCTGGCCCCGTGGCTTAGCGGTTAAGCGCACGCACTCCACTACTGCTGGCCCGGGTTCGGATCCTGGGTGCACACTGACACATCGCTTGTCCAGCCACGCTGGGGCAGCGTCCCACATACAGCAACTAGAAGGATGTGCAAGTAGGACATACAACTATCTACTGGGGCTGTGGGGAGAAAAAGGGAAAAAAAAGGAAGAGGATTGGCAATAGATGTTAGCTCAGGGCTGGTCTTCCTCAGCAAAAAGAGGAAGATTGGCATGGATGTTAGCTCAGGGCTGATGATCCTCACAAAAAAAAAAAAAAAAAGAGAGAGAGAAAGAAAGAAACACAATGAATGAGATAAAGAAAAACATGAAGTCCCTTAATAACAGAGCTGATACTATGGAGGACAGAATGAGCAATTTGGAAGACAGAAATATAGAAATGCTTCAGATGGAGGAAGAGAGAGAACTAAGATTAACAAGAAATGAAGAAATTCTCCAAGAACTATCTGACTCAATTAGAAAATACAACATAAGGACTATAGGTATTCCAGAGGGAAAAGAGAGAGAGAAAGGAGCAGAAAGTCTGTTCAAAGAAATAATAGCTGAGAATTTCCCAAACCTGGGGAAAGAGTTGGAATTACAAGTAAAAGAAGCTAATAGAACTCCTAATTACATCAATGTAAAAAGATCTTCTCCAAAGCATATATATTAAAACTGGCAAAAGTCAATGACAAAGAAAAAAATGTTAAGAGTAGCAAGGCAGAAGAAAATAACTTACAAAGGAACCTCTAGCAGGCTTTCAATGGATTTCTCAACAGAAAGCTTACAGGCTAGGAGAGAGTGAATAATATATTCAAAATTCTGAAAGATGAAAATTTTCAGCCAAGAATATTCTATCCAGCAAAAAGATCCTTCCGATATGATGGAGAGATAAAAACTTTCCCAGAGAAACAAAAGCTGAGGGAGTTCATCACCACAAGATACCCCCTACAAGAAATAATCAAGAAGGCCCCCATACCCAAAAGAAAAGAAAGGGTTTACAAAGCTTTGAGCAAGGAGATAAACAGGCAGACAAAATGAGAAAATTGCAACTATCAGAACAGATTAGCAAACAATTATAACATTAAAAATATAGGAAAGGGGCTGGCTCCGGAGCTTAGCGGTTAAGTGTGCGCGCTCCGCTACTGGCAGCCCGGGTTCGGATCCCAGGCGCGCACCGACACACCGCTTCTCCGGCCATGCTAAGGCCGCGTCCCACATACAGCACCTAGAAGGATGTACAACTGTGACATACAACTATCTGCTGGGGCTTTGGGGGAAAAAAAGGAGGAGGACTGGCAATAGATGTTAGCTCAGAGCCAGTCTTCCTCAGCAGAAAGAGGAGGATTAGCATGGATGTTAGCTCAGGGCTGATCTTCCTCACAAAAAAAAATACAGGAAAGGAAAACATCAAAACTATAATCTCGTCATTTTAATCACAAACTAACATCACAAAACGGAGTAAGCTGTAACAACAATAACCTAGAAGGGGAAGAGGAAACAGATGGAACCTGCTTAGACTAAGGAAATAAGAGGGTATCAGAAAATAGACTTATCTCATATACGAGATATATTTTTGTGTGTGTGTGAGGAAGATTAGCCTTGAGCTAACATCTGATGCCAATCCTCCTCTTTTGGCTGAGGAAGAGTGGCTCTGGGCTAACATCCATGCCCATCTTCCTCTACTTTACATGGGACGCCGCCACAGCATGATTTGACAAGCATTGCATCAGTCCACGCCCAGGATCCAAACCTATGAGCCACAGGCCGCCGAAGCGGAGAGCGCAAATTTAACCACTACGCCACAGCGTCAGCCCACATCTACAGGATTTTTTAAACAAACTTCACGGTAACCACTAAACAAATAATCAGAACAGAGACACAAGTGATAAATAAACAGCAAACTGAGAAAATCATCATAGAGAACTACCAAATTGAATTGGCAGTCCAAAATACATGGGAAGGGCCGGCCCTGTGGCTTGGCGGTTGAGTGCGCGCGCTCTGCTGCTGGCGGCTCGGGTTCGGATCCAAGGCGCGCACCGATGCACCGCTCCTCTGGCCATGCTGAGGCCGCATCCCACATACAGCAACTAGAAGGATGTGCAGCTGTGACATACAACTATCTACTGGGGTTTTGGGGGAAAAAAATAAATAAAATAAAATTTGAAAATACATGGGAAGAGAAGGAAAGGAAATACAGAACAACCGGAAAACAAGTTATAAAAATAGCAGCATTAAGCCCCTGATGTATCAATAATAACTCTAAAGGTAAATGGATTGAATTCTCCAATCAAAAGACAAAGTGGCTGGATGGATTAAAACACAAGAACCAACAATATGCTGCCTCCAAGAGACACATCTCAGCTCTAAAGACAAACAGGCTCAGAGTGAAGGGATGGAAGACGATACTCCAAGCTAATGGCAAAGAAAAGAAAGCAGGTGTTGCCATACTTATATAAGACAAAGTAGACTTCAAGATAAAAAAGGCAATGAGAGAGAACTGAAGATGGCGGCATAGGCAGACTCTGAACTCACCTCCACCCACAGACACAGCCAATTTACAACTAGTCATAGAAAAATTACCCTTGAAAGAGAACTGAAAACTGGATAAGAGGAACTCCTGCAACAAACGACAATCCTAATTGAGTTGGAAGAGGCAGAAATTCCCTTCTGGAGAGGAAAAACACGACTTTCACAAGCTGCAGTGCTTCAAGGCCGCCAGGGAGCAGCCCAAAGGTACGCAGCCTTCCCTGGAGGAGTGAGGACCTGAGCTGGGGAACACCCCAGCTGTAGGCATTTTTTGGACCCAGCACAATCAAGACACATGTCCTAATATCTGACTTTGCCTGCTACTAAAACATTGGGGAGTACCCCAAGAAAAGCTGATTCACAAAGAAATTAAAACCGGCTCTTAAAGGACCCACGCACAAATACACGAATTTCAGAAAGCAACCTAACATCACCAGAAAGAAAGGTGCACAGTGCTTTGGTGAAAAGAGACTCACCTGATAGGCTCTGAGTGCCTCTGGGTGAGAGGTGAGACCTCTCTAGGGACTGGGACATTGGCAGTGGCCATTGTTGTGGCCTGGTGTGCGCGTGCTGATACAGTTGCTGGAAGACGCCATTGGAGTTCTCCCTGGGGCCTGCTAGCCCAGGTCTGCCCCACCCACTAGAGCACCGATTTAATCCAGCTCAGCCAGGGCAGGCAGCCCACCCTAGGGACTGGCCCCACCCAACAACAAGCCCTTGGGCAACTTGTGGTCCTGCTAACGGAGCTGCCTGTATTCGCCACAGCCTGGCAAGTGGGTCCACCTCTGTGGGGCAGGGCGTGTGCCAGGAACGGGTGAAGAATGTGGGGGTGGTGGTGCAGCGTGGGGCTCCCACTTTGGAGAGACTAGGTACACTTCAGGAGGGACTGTGCGTGTGAACCAGTAGGGGGCGGGGCTTGCCAGCTGCAGAAGACTTGTATTTCTCAAAGATCCACATGGGGGTTTGCCCCACCTCCCAAAGCCTGAAACAATTGGGTGCTCCCGTGCCTGAGGCCAGCCCCACCCAGCTGCAATCCTCAGAGAGCTGACAAGAGACCTAAAGGCTGGAGGCTTATAGCAATTGTAA